CACAACTTTTCTTTTTTTTTAATTTTTTTTTTTGTTTTTTTTTCCTATGAGGAAGAGGGATTTACCACATTTTAGGATTTGTTTTTTCCCTAGAAGTACCTAACTTGGTTAAAATTTAACTTTCAATTGTTTCTTATTTCTCCATTAAAAGTTTCTGTCYCTTAGTCAAATGACAGTTCATTTTTTAGAAAGGGGGCAGCCAAAATTTTCACTGAGGGCTGTTGCTTCCCTGGTCTCGCTTCAGCATAACAAATGTGTTCCTTCTCAAAACGAATGGCCAGTAAGGCAAACTGCTTTTGTAGTGGATAATTAAAGTAGTTGATGTAGAGCACAAAGTAGTAGCTATCTTTAAAATGTGAGTTTAAACATGATCTTCCCACCTCAGCCGATATTTTTAGTTTATAAAGGGCTATATAGGACAGGATCCAAGCTTTGTTTTTGGATACATTATATATCTACATACATATTKGTCTGTGGCCACTTTGTCTAACATAACAAGGATCTTCATGAAGAAATGCAAATGATGCATRCATTCTCTTTCCAGGAGGCAGAAGGAGAGGATGTGCCTGGCTTTATTACCAGGAGATTAGCAAATCCATCTCTGACAGAATGGGSAAGAGATTCCCAATCTGAGCACTCAAATCTCAGTATTGCAGTTGTAAAATTAACGTCAGCAGGTACGACCTGATTTTTGGTTGTCCCAATGCTTAGCAGAAAATGTGATCACATACAGCAGGACAGGGTGTCAAACAGTCCTGTCCCTTCTTGGCAACTTCTCTTGCAAGAGCATCCCTTTTTTGTTACAAGGTCTGCAGTATGCCAGTGRCCCTGCAACCTGCAACATTTCTGTTGTGCTCTGACCCTTCACTGGGGAGAAATAAAGGTGCTGTCGTTGGGAATTTCCCTTCACTGGTCCTTCCTGTCCCTGTTGTTGGTATGTAGAAGCAGCGCACGGAACACCCATCTCTGTGCACGGGGAATGGTCACTGCACAGCAYAAAATGGGGCTGTGCGGGGCAGGTGGCTCTGGGTGGAACACAGGGAATTCTGCTAAACAGAAGTACAGGTACAGGGACGGGGTCAGTCGGTGATAAATTGTGTGATTATTCCTCGTTATTGTGTGTGTTTGCTGCTRTGGTGCCACTGTATGTGCAGTTTATTTTTCACCATTAGTGTGCTCTTACTTGCCTTGAATTGTAAGTCAAAGCAGTCAAAACCTCATTTGCAAACCGAATGGGATCTRGTATAGACCCTGGAGTACTATAACTGCGTAATAGGCTGACTGCCACCACTTTTTGAATTGTTCAGTGCTCTGACATGGAAATACAACCTGTTTTTCCTGAAAATTGATAATAGGATTATTTGTGTAAGAAGCAGAAGATGGGATAAGCAGGAATAAAAGAGAGATGTAAGATTAGAAGGACTGTCCCAGTTCCTCTGGACCTGCGTATCAGAGCGAGAACTGTAGCGGGAGGTTTGGAGAGTTAGATGCAAAAAAATCGCATAAATACAAGAAAGTAAAGAATTATTTCCTAAAGGGGAGCATTAAATCATGTTTACTCTCTAAGTTTAACCAGGGCAGGTTGCAAATTCATGCTCTCTAACTAAAGGCAWTAACTTCCATTTCCTCTAATTTCTRTAACTTTCTCTGCATTGAGAATCTTGTTGTGAAGTTCTGTAAGCACTTGCATGTCATCTCTCCCTGCCCACCCTTCTGCCAGGACTAGGTGGAAAGGAAGTGGCATAATTCCCCTCTCCGTGACTATTTAAACCACAGTGTATTGCCAGGGCTGGGACCTGAGCTGTTATCCCTCTTCCTTGAATTTCTAATTTCTTGACTGATGATTAAAACCCAAAAAAATCAACTCCCACCCTGCCCATTAATGAATACAAGAGCTACACTTAGACAGACTTTTTAAGTTTTATGTGTTTGAGCACTTGACATTACACCTAACTTTACAAATTGAAGTTGGCCTTTTTAGTAAGAGCAATCTGGCAAATAAGATGACTTCAAAACTAGAGTATTGCCAACTAGTTTGCTACTGGCCCCACTGAGCTTTTATTTTAAGATGTTCCTGCTTTCAAAGATAAGCACGAGGCAAACAAGACTGCTCCAAACATTAAGGGAGCAGTCACACACTTCTACTTTAGTCTGTGCTGCCATACAAGTGGCTGCATCATTTAATTGTCACTAAACCCAGAAGAAACCATTTGTTCTTTCCTTGCATGTGTAGAAAGAAGTAGGAAATCTCTTTGAATGATGCCAAGGATATTGCTATTTTGTGATAACTAGCAGGAAATAACAAGAGTTAGGACAGAAAGAAGGTCACTTGACTTGAATTCTGTATGGGAAAATATTGGAAGTTGATCATAAAMTTTAATTCCACACGTATCYTGGGGATAATCAAATAAATATTTTGCTTCTAGTTTTACGTTTTTGCTGACTTGGCTCTTATTTTCCAATGCATTCTTCTGTATATGGGCTATTTGCAATTTGCTATGAAAGAGCTTTTTGGGTTCCAGATGTCTYTGACACGACAATCTAGGAGCAACAGTTCTTTCCAGTGGACTTTACAGCCTATGTTTCTCCTATTTCCACTTTTCTATTGCTTTTTCTGCTTGTACTGATTGATCTTTTTTTAAATGGCATGAGTTGCAGGGCTAAATCAGGATCAAGGATGCCTTTGTAAACTAGTTCTGTCTTGGAAGACAGAGTAGATCTGCTTT